ATATTAAATATGAACAACAAAAAAAATCATGTAAAAAATTTTGTTTTTCGATTCGTCAAAATAATTTCTTGACATACTGTAGAAAAAAACTCGCAACATGAACAAAACGCCGAAAGAGAAGCATTAAAGCGCATTAATATTGTTTACTATTATTTAAAATATTACTTACTCTGCGTTAACTCTCAATATGCATTTCTTATTATTTACAGACTATTACTGGAGCCATGAGCACACTAAATCCACCTGTAGCTTTAGAAAAGAAAGAGAATGAACCCAGAGTGGAATATATTCAGGATTACGCCTCTAGTAAGAATACATAAAATTAGTTATTAATACTTCTTGCTGGTTTTTATTTAGCTTCGATTACACATTAATTAAGCTCTTTGCTTAATGCTCTACCGACTGATAAACATTTTAGATATAAAGCATTTTTTTTATTAAATATCATTAAACAAATTATATGTGTTATTCACTTTAACCTTCAACCATCCAAACACTTCTTATTCTTTTTGATACACTATATTTTTATTTATTTTTATTGCAATTTTTGTGGTCGCAATATTTTGGCTCGATCTTAAGAAGAGGTCATGAGTAGTAATCCTGCAATATATGGTGACTTTAAATCTAAAAAATAATGGAATATATCGACTTTGCCGCTTGCCTGAGCAGTGGGCGTTGCCAAAAGGTTTTTGGTTGATCTTTAAAGGAGGTAATCAGTATTTTTCCTCTTAAATTTAGTTACTGAACATTTTAAACTAGTAGTTTGCTAGTATTCTACACGCTCATTCACAAGGATATTCATTAAGTCTCTAGTCGCTTTAATGGCGGTAAAAAATGCCTTCATCCGGACAAGTCGGACATTGCATAATAGCATATTCTAATTTTGCCACGAAATGTGTAATCCATTGAATGAGACGTCTTCTATAAAGAATATTTATGCTTATGCATACATATACATGCTCTAGACATTTATGAGAGTAAGTCAAATCTGCAGTGAGAGCAAAGCGTAGGCCTGCAATGCGACTCGGTCTCTTGAGCGAGTTATAAACACGAGCAAAACGAAGTCTATGTGGGATCTAGTCTCTGTGGGCCCTACTTTTTTTGTACTTATTATTCCATCTATATGTTCTAAGTCAGTGCTGGTAGTTAAGAAGACATTCAATTGACACACATCATTGACACATCATCATTATTCATTGTCATTAATAAAAATTATTAAAATAATATTTCAGGAATGATAATGATTATTTAATTTCAGCATCGTTAAAGAAATTAATATCGAAATTATTCATTAGTATACTTAACATATGAAAAAATACGAAAACATTTATTAAGCATTAATGTTTTCAGTGAAACCATAATTTAATATATTTTGAAGAATATACAAAAACCAGATAAGTTTTGCAGCATACTTGTGTACTACATTGGTTTGTCAACGGCAAGAAGAGATCATATTTATCGAATGAACATTTCCAAAAGTTAGTTTCTTAAAGCAAAAACAAGAAATCGTATTATTTTTGATTAATTATCATTATGTTTAGTGATTTAATGTTTCAATGATGATTAAGTGTGATTTTACATCATTATTTTTTTTAATTCTTGCAAAACAAATAAAATATATTTAAATAGTAAGTTTTTGTAATGATAATAAGATGTTATTTTCATTGTAATTAATTTTTCCGGTAGTAACAAAATGTTAATTTCAGGATAATAACATCTTTCAATATCAACGAAATGATATTTTTGTTATTATAACAATTTTAAAAGAAAAATAAAAGAAATTGACAATCCCTTTTGAAACAACTCTGACGCCTCTGAGAGATCAGAACGGATATGAGCCCATGAGTATGAGTCGAAGAAAAGATTGTCCACTACATCAAAAGTTTACTAATGAATTCGTATATCATAGACGGGTTTCCCCGTCTAGAGTTTATATATTCCACTCGCTTGTTTACCATTGTATCTTAACTTATTGCCCAACTTCTTTTAATCTAGGTCCAGACTTTAACTATCCTCCTGAATTTTATGAGCACACAGAAGAATTATGGAAAGACAAAGGGGTCCTTCAAACCTATGAGAGGTCAAATGAATATCAATTAATTGACTGCGCAAAATAGTAAGTAATATATCATTTATGTACAGCTTACAAGCTTCGGACTTAAAATTATTAATCCGAATATAGCTTGTGCAAATGTGTGTAACAGGCCAATGGAACCATCCCCGACACCATAAAGTATCTAAAGTATATCCACCCATGTCCGTCTGTCTGTCCGTCCCTCCGTATTTCTAAATACGTCGATCTCAGAACCTATAAGAGCTAGACTAGAAATTTAGAATTTAGGTCCTCCTAATGCATGCGCAGTACGAGTTCCTTTTCGATTACAAGCCCCGTTTTCAAGCAATTGATTTAAATCGATATCGAAAGCTGATTTTGACAAAATCTTTTAAGTTTTAAGAGCTAGAGTTACCAAATCAAACATTTTTCTAGGATTGTATATATATATCAAGTATATTTCAATTTGTAGCTATCGCGACCAACTGAACTCTCGTTAATATTAAAAAATTGTTATAGTTATCATCAGCCGAATGTATATTGGCTTTTAAAACTTCCTCTCCCACGCCATCGTCATAAAATTTAGCTTATTTCCACCTTTGTGTTGTAGGCAAGACACATGCTAGATAGAAGAAATCTTAGATTTGCCATAAGAATAGTCGTTAAAATTGTGCAGCAGCCTATCAAAGCGCACTTTTATTTGATATGGCTTCTCAGGAATAGTTGTTCAAAAATAAAACTATCGTACAACCAACTCTCTTGGCCAAATGTTTACAAGGTTATTGAATCTGCGGCGTGCCGAAGAATCCCACTTTATTTTTAAATAAATAAATGTTTATATTTGAATTAATATTTTGAATTTCTTTTATCTTAACATTAAAGCTTTTTGGATCGAGTTAGCACAATTAAGAATCCAAATTATACCCCTAATGAACAAGATATTCTTCGGTGCCGTGTTTTGACTTCTGGAATATTCGAAACAAGATTTCAGGTGGACAAAGTTAATTTTCAGTGAGTTACATTACGTATATATCTTATTATCGTTTTTAAATGTGTCAAATTTCCTACTCTATAGTATGTTTGATGTGGGAGGACAACGCGACGAGCGTAGAAAGTGGATTCAATGTTTCAATGATGTAACTGCTATAATATTTGTAACGGCATGCTCAAGTTATAACATGGTTTTGCGTGAGGATCCCACTCAAAATCGGCTTCGTGAATCCTTAGACTTATTTAAGAGTATTTGGAATAACAGGTATCATAAGAACTACCAAAATTGTTTATTGTTTTAATTCTTTTTAATTTTAGATGGCTACGCACAATTTCTATTATACTTTTTCTAAATAAGCAAGATTTGTTAGCAGAGAAAATTAAGGCTGGAAAAAGTAAATTGTCGGAATATTTCTCCGAGTTTAACAAATATCAAACGCCAAGTAAGTAACATAATCGATATTAAAAACAAAACTTAAGTCATACTTGAATATTACTTAAGACTTAACAAAATCTAAACTACTGAATATGTGACGCGAATAAAAAAACCTCGAATAGAGATGCATTGGGTCTAAACAAATGTATATAATTAGCTAAGTCTACAGCACAACCCAAAAATAATAATCGATAACGCGCTGTTATTAAAGAACTTTTGTTTTGGCAGCCTGCGGAAGCTAGCTGTTAAGGATAAGGCTGCTTTTTATTATACCTATAGGAGGAGTAGATTAGAGTAAAGATTGCGAACGCATCGGCCATGCAGAAAGCCCCTCCTAGTCTGCCGCATAAACGCCCCCATTTCGCCATTCATCTCCCACACGAGTCGCAACTGCAGTGCAAACCATTACGTTGGGCAATATCATTCCGCACTAGTCCAGTGTAATCCGCACATTTAGATTGCGCGAAATTATCAAATAGCCAACAAGCTATGCTCGATTGACTTGCCGTAATTTGCTTTTGGCAAGATTTTGTGAAGATTGTAAAAAGAAAGTAAGTTCAAAATTGTTAAGAGCGCATGCAACACCAACAAGCGGCGGAAAATAAAACTAGATCATAGCGCACACGTTGAAAAAGATCGCAAGAGAGTGTCTGCCCACGAGGTCCTGCACACCGAGAGACTACGTCTGTTCGCTTGAAAGAGGAGAACGCTAGGTTTGCTAGGTTTAATAGTACTATACTTTTCAAGTATTAAACTTACCATTTAGAACAAGTCGCAGTAATTTTTGACATCTAGATAGAATTTATTGGATGGCGGTGAAATTCTTTCACACCTAGGGTATATATTGTTATGTATAACTTAAAGATGTATATATTAACATTATTTTCTAATCAATTACTTAATTTTTTTATAGGTGACGCAATAATGGAATCTAATGATGACCCAGAAGTAATAAGAGCAAAATATTTTATACGGGACGAGTTTCTGGTAAGCCCTAAGAAATCAAATAACAACAAATTTAATTGTATAATTTATATATTTCAACAGCGTATATCGACAGCAAGTGGAGACGGAAAACACTATTGTTACCCACATTTCACATGCGCCGTTGACACAGAAAACATAAAGCGAGTTTTTAATGATTGTAGGGACATAATTCAAAGGATGCACCTGCGTCAATATGAATTGTTATAGGTTATCCCTATCACCGTAATTCAAAAAAATAAAGTGAAAAATATATTATTGAATTACTGTTTTAAATATAATATTATCAAATGTAATTTGTATTTAAATAGTCCCTTGAAAAATAAAAGCGCTGCATTTAGATCTGGTATGACCTTTCACAAAACTCAACATTAAAGAAGAATAAATAAACATGTTATTAACAATTGTACTTGTTTTTATTAGTATCGCTTTATATCTAAACATTTTCGATTAATTTTCCTAAGTGTATTGAGCATAAATTTTATTATAATATTCCCCTAACACAAAGCACATATGAGTAAGTTATACTTGAGCTAGTAAGTCTAGATAGAAGTTAAAATATTTATAACTATACCAGAGGATTAAGTAGGCCAAAACTGACGGAAGCCTTATCAATTTCGTCAAAGTTTCTTTTAATTTTACTTTTCCAGGCATTCTTGTTGTACATTGAAACCTTTCTTACCAGTACAGGCCGCGTTGCATCATGGGCGTTATTGCTCTCTGATGTAAAATCTCGTAAATCGCTTTCTGTATTGAATCCCTGTTGAGACTTTAGTGCTTGTCCTTTGAACATGAATACCACTCTGAAATAAATAGTTTAACCTAAATAAGTCTCTTATCTTATATGATTTAAAGATTTTTCAAGTATTAATTTAAAGTTTTGCACAAACAGCATTTGCTGTTCGTCATATCTGCTTCGTCTCGCGCGAACATTCAGTCAAACCCAATGGTTCCCAGATGACCCATATAACCTTGGTTTTATCATACCATTGATATAGTCCTGGTGAACCTACAGTTCCAAATCCGTGCAACATATAAATGCACATGCGTTTCTTTCAGCCGACCCCACCTCCCTCTATGGTTCATAGATGACCGATAGCTCCTTAATTATACCATATCATTGATAAAGTCCTGGGGAAGCTATAGTTCCAAATGCTATCAAAATTCGCTTAAAAGCATTGTACACAATTATAATGAGGTTTAAAAATTAACGGTTGCAAAATACCATCACACTGTGACCGGCCGTTGGCTCTCGTTTTTAGATCAAAATTCAGCTGAAATACCAGGCGAACAGAAATGCCCAGTAGGTAGATTCCCAAAAAAAATTTGATTTAACATTGCACTGTTAATTAGCAGCTGTTATTTGAGCGTTCACTGTTAACCAACAGCTGCAGCTGTTAATTAACATATCACTATTAACAGCTGCTGTTCAGAAGGGGGCGTTAGATTTGAACGGAAATCTGGCAAAAATACCAGGCGAACAGAAATGCCCAACAGGTAGACGAACTAAAATTTTTTGTGAATCAAAAATTTCATTGCATACCCAAACGGGGCGGGCGGAGGAGCAGTTGCGTGCTTATGCTTTAATGAAAATTCAGCTGAAGTACCAGGCGAACATAAATGCCCAGTAGGCAGACGAACTAAAATTTTTTTAAATAACAATTTCATTGCATACCCACAAGGTATTTAAATGCTTTTAACAGTCAACTGGCAAATCAACGACCGTAAATTTGAATGGCCACAAAATTCTATAAAAGGGGCGCTAAAAGCAAAAAATCATACATATTTCTGGACCGATTCCGTGCGCATTTTGCATGGATTTGATCCTTTGGGTACACCAGGACTATATCAGTGATATGGTATAATCAAGGATATATGGGTCAACTAGGTACCATGGATTGGGATAAGGCTGTTGCTGAGGGCGGCTGAAAATAAAGCATTCATATATTTTTACCACTTCGGTCATTTAGGTTCACCAGGACGATATCTTTGGTATGTAACACCAAGGATATGTGGGTCATCTAGGAACCATGGGTTTTGTTTGTCTGTTTGCCCGGGCAAACAGTCAGCGATATTTATATTTAGATATTATCGTCTTATCGTCTTTCTATCGCGCATGTCGGGATGTAATTGGGGTTGGTTGACAGGGTTCAAGATATCTCCTAGTTGGGAACTCTCTACTAGAGCCTCTTCAGTTCTTTAATAATATTATGTACTTCTGTTTTATCCGTTACGGCAATAATGTCATCTAATTATTTCGCCAAAAGTGGTTGTTTTTTTTTTTTATTAATTTATCAGTAAAACAGTTTTTCCATTATCATGTCAGCGAGGCCTGGGGAGGCCAGTGATCTCATTGGCATTCCTTTAAATTGTGCATATATTTTGTCCTTATACTCAAAATACCGATATTGCTAAATGCAGATTTTAACTATGTTCCCAAATAATTATTTAGGTATAGCTGTGTGTTCTTTTCGTTTTAATCTGCCCAATGCCAATTTCCATTGGCGTGATGGGAAGGGCCTTTTATTTAAACGGGAGAGCAAACTTCGACTATTTCGCATGTAACGCTTCTACGTTGGGCGTTTTGCTTACGAACCATTCTCTTTGAGTGTTCTTTTTCGCTAAAGCAAGGCTCTGATGATCTCTAAATTTGTTGTGTACCGTTGCTTATCTTCCTTTGCGTTTTTTTTTTCATTTTGTTTTCTATATTTCTCTTGCCCTCAAAATATTTTGGAATTATTTCTGGTAATCAACTGTTCTGCGTTTGTTTCTCCTATTTCTAGATATTTGATTTGTTTGTTGCAGGATATTCTTGGACTCCTTCAATGTCCTGGTCTCGACCTTAGTCTATAGATATTACACGAAAACTTTTAATCTTACGAACGTTGTGACCAATAAATAAAGCTTTTTGAAAATTGAAAAAATAATAATATATTTAAAAATATCTGTTTTATTAATAAGGATAATATGCTGTTGTAAGATGAAGTACTTACCTCAGGACTAATTGTCCATCTATTATTTCCCAGAAGGCTTACGTAAGAAAAGAAAATATATATTAATTTCGTCTTTTGATAATTTCAAAGCAATGATTCAGAATTCTAGAACTTACAGTTTTCACCAAAAACACCGTTGAAAGTAAAGAATAATACAGAAATGATAAGCATGTTACCTTTTGTTTTACATTAGTAGAAAATATGTTCAAAATTCTTTCGCAGTACTTAGTATTATTTTACTGCAACTTATTATGCCGCCCCTATGTCCAAAACTAATTTGTTTTTAAATTACCATTAGACGCAGGACTTAAAGAAAAAAATCATGCGTACTCACACTTTATCCAAGCATTGCAGATAATTTTAATCAAGTGCAGGAGCGCTATCTTCTTGCAGACGGGCTTTATAATATATTTAGAAATATTGAATAGAATTATTGCAATTTGCGGAAGAAATCTTGAAGATCGCTCCTTGCACACTTAAGTTTTTCTACAGAATAGCTTCAATAAGCAACTCCTGTTCCGTGGTTCAAATTAAGATTTCTAGCGAAAAATGGTTGCAATGCCATTGCGTCCTGCCCAAGGCGAGCTTCTTAGCTTTTCGATGAATTGCGGAGACAGCAGAAAGCTTTGTTAAGACGATGTCTACAATAAGATCCACCCTCGGAAGCTCACTTCTACTGCCGCTCTTTCGCATCAATGGGAATGATGCGCGGACTGCGCCCGCGTTGATTCTTCGCCAATCATCTGCTCGTTGCTTATTTTCCAACTTTTGGCTACCGTGACTGATCGTTTCTACAGATAGTTGCTAAAGTTACTGCGATCTGTAGCAAGCTCCCCATATTCTCCAAAATCTTCCGAAGAATTATGCTATCTCATCTTCTGGCTGTGGACGCTCTTAACGACGCGCTACCGGACCATCAGTTTATGTTCCGAGGAATTGGTCTACCGTCTACCACATCCGCAGCGCCTTTGAATGGATTTGGAGTGTGCAGGTGGCGATCTTGAAGGGAGGTAATTCGCTTTGGAGGCCAGAGATGCCCGTTCCGGAATGTCTACGATTCCGCATTTCTGGCGTCAAACAGCAGGCGAGTGTTCCGCCTCACTACCGAATATCGCTCTAAAGTCAAGAGGATCCAGCACGCCACGTAAATTGGCCATTTAATTTTCTGGTAGTTTATGTAAATTCCTACTCAGACGCGTCCAGACTGCCATTTTTATGACTGCGTCAATTCATTTCTACCATTTATGGAGCTCGTAACACATCCACCTGCCCTTAAAAGCATCCTCTTCACATGAGATGGGACCATAAATTATGCCCACGCCGTATGGCTTGTCATTTAAGATGCTTTGTCTTCATTTATCAAACAAAAAATAAATGTAAAGCTATTAAATCAGATAGTCATTACATTCTTCTTCAAATATTATTATTTCTCGGCTTGCTGGTAAGTCTTAACTAGATTTTAAAGTTATAAAACACAATTGTCATATTCCAAATTTACCAAAGTGACCTCCATGTTTCCCTCAGGCAGTCGTTTCACCCAGTTTACTCTTCTAATTTACCATTTTTCTACATTTTACATGAGTTCAGGCTATACAAATATCAAGAATATTGGCTGTAAATTTTCCCGTAAGAAGCAACAAGCATCAAAGTTCCAAAAGGGTTTTGCTGTTGTTTTATGATGACCAATCGACTTTCTTTTCGATAAGTATGGAACTATCGATATCACACGTAGCTGACAATATAGCAACGATATAGCAACAAAGGAAATAGGTAAATTTAATATACCATAAAACTATAATATTAATATACTTATAAAATATAAAATTAAATAAGGCGTTCGGTCGATTCGGCGGGAATTAGTTATGCTGAATGTTGCATCGAGTTCGCACATAAAAGATAGTAAGATGAAATATAATATATATGCATACAACCATTTGCCATCACTCTTTAACCCTTACGGCATGCACCCAAAAAGCTCGTCTTAGTGTTCAATTAAATAGTTTATTTCCTTTGTGAATTTATACATTTAATTTTTTTCAGTTACGGTTTAAGTATAATCCGTTTTCTATCAATAATAGTTAGCTTTCTTTATTAGGTGTCCCCCACCAATACTGTCTAAATTACGCTTCGACGTTGATTGTAAATTACTTATTGGATTGCCCTTTTTTCTTTGTGGGAATGATAATAATATTTTTGAAAATAAGTTGTAAATATTATTTAATATAAATTCTCTGGTTGTTTGAGGAATATTGTAGTAGCCAATATATATCTGTACAGTTGAAACATCTGAATAAAAAATAAAAAAATACAAAAGTAAAAAATTAATAACAAATAACAAATATATAATATATTTTTAATTTCGGAATATTATAGTTAAATATATTGAATCTATATTATTATATGTGCAGATATGCATTCATGTTGGGTCGGTTAGAAAATTATTTTATAAGCCGAAAGCAATGTTAAGCAAATAATATTAAATGTTATAATTATTTACATTAGTTAATAAAAACCCCCACTCAAAGTATTACGTAAATCAAAACTTACAACTTATAGATAGACAGGTTTTTTTAAACTCCATTTTCATTTTTCTGTGTCTGATAGAAATCAAACACATATCATTCACAAATATCGTTTTACATCGATAGTGCATCGACCTAGTGCTCTACACTTTGACAGTCTTTAGGAGGATGCTGTTTAGAGGGTCTGCTGGCGCGTAACTTCGCGAATACCCGGTTTCCCTTTGAGGAGCTGAACACCGCTGTCCTTGAGATGCAAGCAGTACTCAACTCTCGCCCGCTGTCACCGCAAGCATATGATACCAACGGCTTAAGCGCTTTCACTGCCGGACACTTTCTTAATGGAAATTCACCACGCGCTTAGACTGAGCGTGTATCACCAACAACATCTCCTACTTAGATTCTTACGATCAGATCATAGTAACAACCGACCGACTCTGCATTGAAAATAAGGCGTGCTGAGTCGATTGTTCGTGTCATACACAGTCGCACTGCTTCCGGACGCTGTTGCAAGCTACCTGTTCTAACTGTCTCTTGAAATATAGTTCTTCCAAGCTGGCTGTGCTGCTGAACCTTTTTGTACTTTGAACCCATTGAAAATAAGTAAAAAGGGTATAATGTATTTGCGCAAATATATGTAACAGGCCAAAGGAAGCATCTCAGATCCCATAAAATATAGAAAAAACCAAAATTATCCAATTGATATATATGAACAGTAAAATAATGATGCCAAGTCATCTCAGAGTTATTTAAATCACTGGAGACCACATTTCCATTTAAGCTTGTGGAGCCAAGCATACCGGATATTATATTTGGAAGCTTCGCAAGTGTAACTGATAACTTTATCTTCTCAAGTTGCGAAACTAAGATTATGTCCCACGTAATCAAAAACTAGAGTGCAAGAATAAATCCAAAGGCCTCTATGGCCTGTTTTTAATCTTATATTTTTATACCCATTTAAAAAGGGTAAAAGGGTAGAAGGAAGCATCGCCGACCCCAAGAGTTATATATGTTCTTGGTAAGCATTAATAGTCGAGTCGATCTAGCGACGTCCGTCTGCTTGTCGGTTTTTATGTGTAAGCTGGATGGATCCGTTCAGGGTATACACTCTGACCAGAGGACTGAAGGAAGGAATAGGCCTCACGTACATGGCGTATGGCGTGCTTACGTCAATTGGCGTCTATTCCATGCATCAGTGTTTAATCTTCGGAATCGGTACTATTTGGTGTTCTTTAATTAATAATTCACTTATTGTATCCCTTTAAAATTAAGAGACTAGTTCGCATGGAAACATATAGACAGACTGACGGATATAGCTATATAAATTCGGCGGTTGATGCCCCTATGAGGCCGCAGATTTTGTATGCTGTATAAAGCTAAAAAAAAATTGTAATAGCTCTCACAAGGTTATTAAAATGTCTCGTGTTATGTCTTAGTGTTATGTTATGAAAATGTGGTAAAAAAATTAAAAATAATGTTAGTTCATTTTTTGTGAACGAATTTGAACATCCGCAAAACGTTGTAAACCGCGCATAGCCTAGTGAGATGAGTGTGTCTTAATATTATTTTGTTTGTCCGGAATTTTGTGCACTGCGTTTTTTGAAAACTCGTAAGGTAATATTCAATTTTTCAAATTCAATTCACAATGGCAACGGCGAATATTTGATTAGCGCACTCAAACAATATTTTGAAATTGGCAAATAAGACTCCGTTTATTCCCAAAAATTCAAAGCCAAGTGTAAGGTGCGAGTATTGTCTGGCTTCACGGATTTTAGTTTAAGTGTACGAAGACTTTACTGGAGCCGCAAACGTGTCTTTTTGTCGTTTATTTTTTTGTTTTTTCATAATATTAAACATATTTAATCATAATTTTTAATGTTATGTAATTAATACATTTTTTTTTGCTCTTCTGCGAGTCTGTCTTAGTCGCTGTACGAACACATTATTGGGACACTGTTTTTAGCGATGCAGTTCCATTAATAAACTTTTACACTGATATTCGCAGTTATTATCTCTTTTAGGGCTCTGTGTCATCAGTCAGTCAATCAGGTCAATCAGTTCATAGAATGTATAATTTTAAACAGAAAACAGTTTTCCATATTGTAGATTAAAAGAAATCAACAGCTCAGTTGCTTCAGTTCCACAGCCTACAGTCTTTGATAATTTATGTCACTAATCATATACAAAATGTACATATTTGCAGCAAAATTAATAGTTCGAAAAAACATTTATAAATGCTTAAATATTTTGGAACTGATTCCATACACATAGTTATGAAACAAAATTTAATTTATTCAACAGTGCACAATGAAATCTAAGAAAAGACTGCTGGATTCACTTTGACGTTTGCTCATTTTATACCATATGAGGCTTAGACAGGAGATACAGGGTGTTCATAACATTGTTAAATAATGAAACGTTTTTAGGGCAAATCTCTTAATTGAATACCCGTTATTATTATCAAAGTGGAACTCTATTCTGTGTAACCCTGTGTAAGGAATAAAGGCATTTTTATTATACCCTGCAGCCATTAAAAAAGGGTATCATAGTTTTGTGGAAATGTATGTAACAGGAAAACGGAATAAGTTCGTCTCCATGAGGAATATACATATGTTCTTGGGCAACTTCAATAGCCGAATAGATCAAGCCTGTTTTTTGAGATAATCTGTAAGGTTTTTTGTATCTATTATTTAATAAGCCTCAAAAGCATTAGATAGGATGAATTCCCCCAAAATATATTAAATTTACAAATTTTATATGCAAAGGTAACAAAGGTAACAAATCAAATTCCATTCCATTCCATTCCGTTCCATCACATATGTATATAATAATAGGTATTTAAATGTATTATGAATATATGTAAATATATTTTTATATTTGTACCTTGCATTTTATAGACAGGGTATTTGCTAGTCGAATTCTGTCAAATATAAAGTTTTATGTACTTTTGCTGCTCTTAACGCGTCACTTTAACCATATTTCCTTTAACATGTGGTAAAGACTTTAGCAAACAGAGCGTAGGAATGACATATGTACATATATATGTATGTACTATGTATGTATATGAATTTGTATACGGGAATTTCAAACATATGTTAACGTTAATTTTTGTACTATGTTAATAAAGATTAATATCCATCCGGGTATTTTTATCAATATAATGTTTTTTACACTATTAGATATTTTTATGTGTGCTGGTGGATACCCACGCACGGTAAACTGTTAAAATGTTTTGCCAACGGCGTCTGATTGCTAAAACTTGAAGTTTGTAACAGGATTGTGGTTAAGGAGAAAAATATGTGGATTGAATGTCTTGAAAATGCAATTATTAAGAAACAAAACCACTTATACAGCCAGTTTGCAATTTACAATTGCAATTTGCAATTGATACAGATCAAATACTGACCAGGTCCAGCACTCGTTTTGGCTATCTAATACATTTGTGCACTCTTAATACGTGGCTTACACAGGCTTATTGGGAGATGCGATAGCCATATCGAATAGTTTTTTTTACTATAGTTGCGAACTTGTACAAAGTCCTATGGCGAAGTGCGGGCGAGCTCGCGGCAGATCAGGACTGGACGTAAGTCTCAAACTGCGAATATTCAACTTACAACTCCGATCACACAAATATCTGTTGTAAAGAGTTTTGCCCGGAACCCATTATTGTAAAAGAATACGAACAATAACCATTACACAGAGATGTGTACATAATAAACGGACAATTTTACAATTTTTCTATCTTTTATTGGTATCTGACCACAAGAGAAAATTTATTATTAATTTTGAATCAAACACTTAAGGACACATACACTATTTTTGATTATTTACTGTTGGTTTACGGTTAAATGCCTAATTTTTTTTATATATAGATGTATATTACAGTTTTATACAACATTTTGCAACATATACTTTGACAGATTTTTTTCAACTTGATGATATAATTTAGAAATTATGGTACAAATACTTTCACTCACTTATAAGGTATGTTCAAAACAATAAAAATGATACTCTTGTCCGTCGGGCATCACCTTTGGCTCTTCGAGCCATTCCATAATGTCACATACTTCCTTCGGTGCTGCTTGTTGTTCCTTTCGAGTCACACATTCCACCAGCGAGATTTTCATCTCCACGTACTGAACCAGATGTAAGTCCGCCAGTAATACCGGTAAAATTTAGTTTGTACTGTAATGATAGAAAATAAAATCGTATTAAGTTTAACAGGTACAACATTGGCGGATTAAAAATTCTGAGAGATTTGGAATAAAAGATTTATTCAGCGAATTTAAAATTGTTTTGGATTGTCTGTATTTAACGCCATTCTTAAGAGCAAGAAGCCGAGTTAAACATAACAGCCGGCCGCCGCGGCAACCTAGCGTTATCGATCAGTTTCTCAACTCCGGCGGCCAAGAGCGAAAGCTCCGAGGTAAAGTTGCGAAAACTCGCGGCGAAGTTGAGCGGTCAACGCGAGCGCACAGCTGGACAGTCGGCGAGCAGATACCTTGGAGGTAACGATTAAATGGACAAGACGTGATCGAGTGAAGCAGTTAATGGAAACCATTTCGTAGTTGGACAGCTGACCGCGGAGCCATCTGATAATATTAACATCGAAAATGAACGTTTTACCCCAAACAAATATGACGCTAAAATTTGTGTTCTTTCTGAGTCTGCCGTTTGTGTGTCAGACTTCATTGAAAGAAATATCAATATCAGTCTAGTAAAAAGAAATATGATAGCTTTCTGTGGGTTTACCCAAGAAGTCTTCAAGGGGTGTTGGGTAAGAAACCTTGTACATTTTACTTAAGTAGGATCTTGAGTGTTTCCAGCTTGCACCGCAATAATGGATAATATTTCGCACACGGGTATCAAGGCTTATAACTCACTTTGTGAACAGAGTATACAAAAATCAGTTTTTTTCAAAATAAATTACCTTGTTTGCGCACTCAAAACAGTTCGAGACGACTTTATTTATAACATTCATAAGATTTTTTGTTTCCCTTATGACGTGATCAACCTTAACAAATGTTGCAGCTTTTCCGACTGTATGCTCTTTTACTGTAAATTGTAGAGCTTGGACAAAAGTTGGCACTCTATCTAATATACTTAGAAGGTCCTTTTTGTTATCACTTGCAGGTACCTGAAAAACATATTTGCTTTTAATTAATTTCAATTAGGATAAGTATTTCCAATTATACTGCTAAATACATGATACGTTTAAATTACATAACTTGATTTCTTTAACATTCTTCATTTCATTGAGCTCTAGCTAATATGTAGGACAACTGGACAACTGTATGAGCTGGAGACTTCAAAATCTGTACACAGAACAAGTTAATACAATCGCAATTGCAAATCTGTATAATTACACAATTTCCTTATTAACTCCGATCTGAATATTGGAATATTTTCAAAAAGGCAACAACATTAAAGTTGTGGCTAAAATTATTGGATACTTTCAATTGATTTATATTTAAGGGGTGTAGGGGGTGGCGATATCTATAAAATTAAAGATATTCTAACTCTCAATACTTAAGAGATTTGCTCAGAAAGCATCATTTCTATACCTATTTTGATCGATGGCTTGAAAACGGACCAAGTAAGCCAAAACTAGTTTTTTGACTGATTCTTCCTGTATTCTTTTTATGGGCTCAACAATTAATGACTTAATAATTATACTTTCTCAAAAGGATCACAAAATAGTGAGCCAGAAATTGGAAAATATATAGAAAAAATCTATGCATTATGGTCGAATATTCCGATACATTAAGGTATCGATTTTACCATATAATTTTGTTATACCTGATATGAGAAATGGCGAAGGACTTTATAAAGTCGGTTGGCTTCTTCAGCAAAATATTCCGCTTGAGTAAACAAATCTTGTGTCGTTCGTAAAGAACCGTTTCCCTTCGTAAATTGATACATTAAAAAAGCCATAGCGGACATATTTTTGGCTCTTTTTAATATGTCGTTGTCATCTGATAAATCCTCTGTCCATTTTGAATCTCCATTGTTTTTACTATCTATGCCTGAGTACTCCACAATTTCTCGTTCATCTGAGGCCGCTCCAGGAGGTTTTGATGATTTTATTGTTGTTTCACATTTCTAAATAATGGAAAAAGTTTTTTAAGTCGTAATGCCATTTGATTTTGCTTCGCTTACCTCTATTTGAGAGTCCATGTCAGTTTTAGTTGTGTCTACCGAAGCAAGGATTTTTTTAGCTATCGTTGAAATCTCGTTCACTAACCACTTCCACATTCCCAAAAATGATTCAAAATTTTCATTTGCCGCGCTGCTGTTAGAGTACTTCCAAAGGATTTTAGCTGCAACAAATACTTGTGGACCATAGATTCGCAAGTTAATTGCCAAACATTTCGCGTGAACCTGAAGTCCTTCCGTTGGTGCTATATGCTGCAACAACTTGCAGATATCGAATATATGATCACAGCAGTCGTGAAATTTGGTAGAACACTGATTTAGATTCTCAAGATCATGTGCCATTGCCAAAACATAAAACGATTTCACAATCCTTGTACAAATGCTAAGCGATTCATTAAAGTCAGCTATTTGGCTCGATACAGACACGACAAGCTGCTTACACAAATCTTGTAGGCTTTCAAGCAAGCTCATTTCAGGTTCCCTGCCTTGTATTGGTACTCTTAAGCCTTTGTTATCATGGAAATCTTTTTTTAAATGATTGAGGTACATATCGAACTGCAGTTTACAGTTGTCACAGTAAATTAATATATTCTTACGATGCTCATGACTAATGTAGGGAGAATCTGTAAAATCATGCGTTTTCTCAAACAACTTATCAAAAGCCACAGAAAGTTCATCGCTAAGGTCCAGACTTTCGTAGGTCATATGTTTTTTATAATTTGTATTTTTAATCATGTGGCTACCGTCAATTGGCGCTAAGTTCTCTTCTTTTTTCCAATCGTCATCGTTAAATAAGGGGTAAAACGCATCTGGATTATTATTTCCCTCCTTATTGCTGTTACAATCATATTGTATGGATTGTAGTTTAAATTTCTTAATGAGATTTACAATACGTTTTATTGTCGTATATATGCTTTCATTTTCATAATTCGAATTACCTCGCGCATTACGATATGCCATATGCTTGGCTGAATCGAAAATACTATCCTTTATTACGAAATGTATTAAATCCATTGCACGTCGTATTTGGCAAAACACTGTGTCCCGATTTTCCTTAACAATAACACAATCGCTGTGTATTAGACTATTTTTTGATGATGTCAATAAAATTGATATGGACTTTTCAAGAATTTGACGAGCCGAGAACATTTGAGCACGCCGCCGCTCTTCCTTAAATGAATTCCGGTGATGCCCAGTGAGGTACGCTAGTTCAATCATTTCTGTGCCAAATATAGAAAACGCGCGAACAAACTCGGTAAAATTCATAACAGACTCCAGCTTTTCCAAACTTTCAGAAGCTCGCTTCTTTGCAGTGAGTAGTTTTTTAACCACAATTATGTCCACTAGCAGAAGAATTCGTGTTATTGCTGAAAGAAGTGATCTAGCTGCTAGTATAATAGCACCGTAATCCTTTAATGGCTCAGTATGATGCCGAAGTTCCATTCCACCTAGAGGCGAAGGATCACATAACTGTTCAATGGACTTTCCTAAAAAAAAAAAGACGACTTCATTTAGTATTTTGACAATTCATTTAAAGAAACTTAGAAATTGTTGTTGGAAAATTTTAGTTGTAAAAAATATAAATTGTTTACTCTTTTATTCCAATGTACTGTTAAAAATTATTCACAAAACACCACAAAACTCATTTTACATTTTAACAACAATCAATAAAGGAGGTTGGGGTTGTTCCCAATCAATCAATAAAGCTTACAAACACGTAACGCGTAAGATATTTCGAAGTTAATAACAACCGATAGCTAATTTTGTGAAGTGCGATGGGAGCACAATAGATTTATGGGCCTCACCTGCATCCCTCGCTTCTCTAGCAGCCTCATACATATCGACTTTTATATCCGTATTTTCCTCTGCAATTATTTCGCCAATTGTAATAAATCTTTCAACCGATATACTCAATGTATGTCCAATGTTTCCAAAAGTTGACATTATTTGCTCGTTGTCGATATCACGAAGTCGAAAGCGCTGATTCTGTAAATAACAAAACAACCCACAATTGATTATATATGTTGTAATACACAAAAATTGCAGCAAACCAACAGCTCTGTCGATTTAATCAAGTCTTGTTGCAACTTGGCAAAACATTTTATCTGTCTGAAATAGGGTCCTCAATATTTATATATTTAAGACAATTTGTCCTCAACTTTGCTGAAGATTACAAATCGCAATTAAGCCGGTAACAAAGAGTATAATGGCCATGTGGGATTGGCCATCGGGGTATAAAAATGCATTGGCTATGCTTTAACTTTATACATACCTGTTTGCTCACTTACGACTGCGTCTGCCCGATTTTATAATTACATTTATAAGTCTTAAAGTTTGTATATTCCATGCGAAAGTAAATATGGCATTAAGTTAGCATGCCTGTAGGGGTACAGGGTAGCCTTTGGTCAGACACTTTCGACTAGAGCCTTGGTTTGTTACAAATTCTTTATAATATTATTTTACCCTTTATCAAATCGTTGTTATGAATTTGAGATTGAGTCGTTGATTATTAAAAGGACCGGAAATAAACTTACATTGACATCAAGCGCAGATGGAGATAGGCCATACATTTTTCGAGTTCTTTTGTTTTTTTGTTTGCTTTTGTTTGTTTTCAACTGCTTAAAAAATTAATTTGTATTTTGAGATCCGCACATTCCAATGTGTATATAACTATTGATTTTTTGTAAACAGTAAATTTTCGTATTTTATATATTTTGATATTGACCTTTTTAAATGAATACTAGTTATTATAAACAGTTAACATTTATTTTGTTTATACACACACATATATATATATATATATATATTAAATGCATCTACAAAAACTAACAATGATGGTCTCCGAACACATTAAATCCGTATTTTTTTGCGCATACATACCTTCTGCGCAGTTAACAAAATATTTTGTACATAAAAGAACAGTTACCCTCGCAAGCATAACGCATATTAACAATCAAATTAATGTATCCTATATGCACGAAGCCTATTTCATTGAAAATTAACTTTTTGTCACTTCTTATTAAATTAAATGGTCATAATATCTGTAACAACAAAACTGATTCTATTATATATAATGGTCACTTTTAAACCGATTACACCTATCGGGAGTTTCCTATTGGAGATACCCTGACCTAGCCGCCATGACGAATTCAAATTTCCTTTTTTTCGTTGCCACGTTATGCTTGGTCCTTTCGCGATAAATATGGTCCACCATAGAGAAATATGGTCAGTCATTCCTCACACTCACTTGACGTGACTGCTCTGCTGTTTTCTAGCCTTCACATTAGGTCTATCAGAATACAATCAATTACTCTTAGAGGCGAGAAAGAAGAGGAACATGTTGAATGCTTTTTCTGCTTCTGTTCTTCTTCTGTAATAATCTGTAGGAAATCCCTTTCCTAAAATGTAATCCAAACAAAGCAAATTAGTAACAAACAGCCATCCTGAAAGGCAGGCATTCAAATGTAATTATTTTTATAATTCATTTTCTTAAATTAATCTCACATTATATTTTTGACAAGACTCAAGCATTTAGTCCAATGAATAACAATAAGCGTCTGTTTCGCGTGTTCCAGCAACGAACAATAGTAGAATTTGTATTTTCTCAATTTCTTTCTATTATTAATAAAATTTTTTATAATTAACTTTCAATTATTTGGGTAAAAAGAAAGGAATTTATTTATTTAATATGTGTGCCAAGTTACGATGTTTATTTTTTGTATATCTTGCTTTATTTTGGTATGTACTTTAAAAGTCGGACTTCGTGCGAAAGCCAGACAGCAAAACTGAGGAGAATTAATGATCCAGATTGATGAGCTGTGGCCAATGGCACAGGTACATAGGTTAATAATGTAGTTACACCCAAAGTAGCTTGCGTCCAGGCCATAATAGTTACAGCATTGATAGCCCAACTTGCACGTTTGGGTAATTTTTTGCGACTCATCAGCCATAAAGCCGTAATAAATGATACTGTTGTAATGCCCAATATACGATGGTTGAACTGAACCGTCGTTGGATTTTCTGTAATATTTTTGTGTATTGGTTTAAATTGCAGTAGATCATTAGGTATCCAGGTATCGCCCATTTTTGGAAATGAGTTGTAAACTAATCCAGCATCCAGTCCAGCCACAAATGCTCCAGAGATGGCTGTCAAGAACACCATACCTTTCGTTACATGTGCCAATTTCTTAATATTAAGTACCCGCTTTGCTGTAGATACATATATATCAGATGGTATCAACTTAGACATTGCATTCGATAAAAACAATGCATATAGGACAAATGCAGCAGCTAAATGTGATGCCAATCTATATTGGGAAACGCGCGGCACATCATTTGGGTTATCAAATCTGTCTTCCAAGCCGGACTTCACCATATACCATCCCATTAGACCTTGGAGTCCAATTAAAGTGCCTAATAATAATACAACCTTTTTTGTTCTAGCACAAAAATAGCCTTTTCTCCAAAAGTATGCAGCCGGAACTAGAAAAAACGCACCGATCGCGCGACCCCACATTCTGTGTATATATTCCATCATATATATAAATTTAAAGTCTTCCAATGTTATGCTAGCATTCTTTCTGGAAAAAAGAGTTATTAAAATATTAATTATATATTATAAATAAATATATGTTTTACATTATGAGGTAGGTTTATTTATCTGGTAAATTGAAAATTTTGGGTATGCAGAAATATCAATACAAAGATATCCTTGGACGGAATACCAAACGATAGGACAACAATTTGCATTACTAAGGCTTTAACTGACATCTGCAACAAAGTAATATGCGAAAAAGATTCAGACCTATCTTCCTGATAGACTAGAAGGTAGCACGTCCTTAATCCTTCTCCCAAGAAGAAACAGGATAGTCTCATTTAACTAATCAATTTGTTCATTGGCAAACACATACTAATACTTTAGAATTTGTTCTTGTCTGTATTTAATATTGAATAACGTTTTGTTATTTGCTATTTGTGATAACCTTTTCTTTCAATACATACACGCATTCTTTTTTGCTTGTGTTAAATAGATGTAAAATAACCTATATGTTTATTATTTAATTTACTTACAGTTTAAATTCAGGATACTGTTGATATTTCTCAAACTCTTTAATCCATTCTTCTTGATTGCGTGGCATATGCTCACCAAGTAGTTTCCAAGACACCATTGAAAGTCCTGATTCTGTTAATCTTGTAACACCGCCTTTATAAAAAAAAAATTCGCTTAGGCTGCAATTTAAATTTAATTTAATTGTGTTTTTAATTTACCTAGTCCAACAGCAACGAACACCATGCCGCTGCATCCTAGAAACCACTTGCCAACTGTTTTATCATTTGATTTGCTTAAATGATTTACTTGAGGAGGTCGTGGCGGTATATGCTGAAGGAATAAAAAATATTCAATATCATAAATAAATAAATCAAATAAACAAAAAAAGGGGAAAGATCACGCCACCACCAGGGCCACCAGCAATCCCACACAGCGCACCTATTGTCCTCGGATGAAAACAAGGAGACAAGGTGAAGAGAGGCAATGGTAAGAACCGCCAGCAAGCCAACAAAGCACGCAGTGTGTCGTCTTAGCGACTTGTTGCCTACCGGGAAAAATGTAAGGAGGCGGTGATGCTCGAGCAAGTCCAAAATATATTAAATAAACTGATACGCGTTGGGCTTAGCACTATCTCTGTAATCGAGCCTAGCTGCAAAAAAAAACAAATCGAAACTTGATTTAGGGTGCAACTAAATAATTATAACAAGAACGAGAGTCCCAAAAGCGTCTACTGCCCTACCGATCAGCATTATTCTGGACACCTTCCGATCAACATAATGCGGTACGGCTGTTATTTTAAAGCTAAAGCAAAAGCCAAAGACATCTATAGTCTGGCAAAATACGAACTTCACGCCCAAAATGGGGACGGTAAGAAAAGGAAAGGGTGCTACTCCGACACCTAACATATTCGTAAAAATGCAAGTCCCGTCGACACCAAAGGCTATTAGATACATCTGCCTTTTAACAGAAGCGTCAGCACAAAGCTCAAGTCAGTAATGCAGGCCGTGCAAGAATTCAGCGCCCACACGAAGCACCCGTTGCCCACGACATTGCTCCTGGCCAGTCATACTTTGCAAGTGTCCTGAACAGCCCGCGCAGAGTAGAGTCCATCTCAACTCCGCGTAAGAAATACAGACAACAATGCCTATGGATCCATTGCAGGTTCGCCAGGTTGGATAGATAGATGCGTCCAAAAACCCACAGCAGAGTGGGTCCACTTTCCATTTTTGTACATTGTATAATTTTTGTGGCTCATACATAATACCTACTTTGAGTTGAGCTTCCAAAACAGTGTGCTGCAAACTGCGTCTTTGAATAACAGTCTTTAATGCATTGGCTCTTTGATAAATCGATCGAAGCATTATTAAAAGGTAATTGTTTTGTCTACAGTCTACAGGAAATAAATTTTCCTTTGCGGCATATATATTTATTTAAAAGTTAGGGATGAACCAAACACATATGTTTCAGTTAGAATAAGTTCAGTTAAACGGTTCATTGAAATGACTAACCTACAAGTTTGTTCCTACTGACACCGCGTTTGCACCCACATCCAAAGCTTGTTGAAGTAAATTTAGGAAACGCAAAAGCTTGTGTAATTTATCGTTTCAGTGAAAGCGGATGCCCTTGGCCTTCAGGTCGGTCGTCAATTTATTTATTTATTTGCTTATTAACGGTCGACAAAATCAGTGTTAATCTAAGTATTAAATACATAAGAAAATAAAAATAAAATGACCCTTTTAACAGCTAATCTTGTCAGTGACGTTATTAGAGCGTACAGCTAAAAAGGATGGTGCTAGTAGAGTAAATAGTGTTCTTAAGTAAAACTTAAAAATAATTTTAAGTTGCTATATTATTTAAAAGATAAAGAGATAGTGATGGGAAATAGCCAACCCGGTGATTCGATAAATCGAATCAGCTCGATTTATGAAATAAAAATATCGATATTTCTGGAACCTCTATGTATATCAGTGCATCCCTGATAGACGCTCCTCTGAGAAACAGCATTTGGTTTATTAAAAGTGCTTTTTATTAATCTCTTAATTATAGTAACCAAAGTAAATCAACATAAAAATGGAGAATTTATTAAACACACAGTTTGTAAAACTGAAAGAAGCTATGAACAATCTCTATAAGTTAAAGAGCAGTGTGAGTGCGATATGACTTTCGATCAACTGATATTCTTAAATATGTTTATTTTTTTCAGGAACATGCTTTGGAGTCGCAACACTCTACAAGTGTATTAATGTTTGTGGCTCTTAAGCATTCGAATCGGAAGGTCAAGCGAAACATTAAGTCTGGGCGAGATGAATTGCATTTGCAAAAATCAAAAGTCGACCTAAGTAGATTGCAATTGCAAAATCTTCTGTATGAAGTTAGCCATTTGAAAAAGGAAATCGTCCGATGTCAGAAATTTAAAAGTCGCGATACCTATTTAGAACTATTGTCTGATAAAGAATATTCCAGCAAGCTTTCTGCTGATTATAGTGAAAAGGCGAATTTGTCAGATCACAAAAGCCATTTATATCGTCTGGAATGCGAACTACGATTGCGTAAAGAACTTGATAATCAGTACAGTGCTTTGCTCTCTTCAAAGCAGGAGTTGTTGCAGGAAAATCTTAAGCAGACACAAAAATATCTTTCGTTCGCTCCGGCTTTACGCACTCTACTAGAATCGACTAAACCATTACATGATGCGCTCCAGCTGTCCCTTGATGTTGAATGGAAATTAAGCTCAATATATAAATACCTGCCACGGCCTTTGTATATATTATTTATAAACCTGCAAGCCCTGCAACGTGACAAGAAAGACTTTGCATCCGAAGTAATTGGTTTTGAGAGCGATGCACAAATGCAGGAGTTGCTTTCGGAATCGGAAAATATTCTAAAGGAACGTCGACATTTTATGGAGAAAAAGAGTACATGTGAAGCGACGCCTGAGAGCACAATAGAAAGTCTCTTGAAACCCCATCCACTTCATATAAAACTCGTTGTAAGTTGAACACAGAGCACTTTTTATAGTATACCCTTGTAGAGGGAATTATAATTTTGTCGTGCAATTAAAGGAGCCACCTCCGACCGCATAAGATATATATTCTAGATCAACATCAGCCAAATGTATATAGCTATATCCGCCTGTCTGTTACTGTGCAATCTAATATCTCAATTTTAAAGGTATCTAAAGCGTCTTGAACCTTACATCGAGGCGTCTTTCTGATGCGTCTATAGCTGCATAGGAACGATAAGCAAAAATGTAGGTTCTTGTATGGACAACTTTTGATTTATCAAGATATCTGAATTAGTTAGTTTCACTATGTTCCTCATACACAATGAAAAATCATATCAACATCGCACGACTTTATCAGTTGGCTGCCATTGGAGCGATCGATCGAAAAGAAGTCTTTTATATGAACAATCTTTTTGGTTCAGTAAAATATGTACGCCAAACGCTGTGATTATTAGTTTAACTATATATGGAAAACTTTATCTTATCAACATCGAAAGAATTAGTGGAAATATTAGTAGGCTCAATCAGCACAAAGTCTTTATTATATAAATGTACAAGTTTTTCAATTATTGTATATTGTACTCCTTTTAACTAATTTAACTCAACCTATTTATGTATGTTTTAATTATAGATAGAAAGCCCTGATAAATGTTATGAGTTGGTGTTAATAATCAGGTATTGGGAATTGCTTAAATGTGTCACAGTGTATCCACAATTCAACAGCACGAATAACACCAATTTTCAAGGGTTAGTATCAATTATATATATTACATTAAATAATATAATAATTCTTATTTTTTTAAAGAGACATTAATTTGGTTGAGGATCTTCTGGGACATTTATATCCCGATGATTCGGGAAAAGATATTCCTATTCCAGGCATCGAATATGAGGTAAGAAATTAATGAAAAATGCCTTAATAAGGTAGAATTATTATTTGGTATTTAAACTCTAATCGAAATATAAAATTAAAAATGATCATTTTTCTATTTTCAGTTGCAAAGCTTAAATTTGACCACGGAAGAGTGCCTGGAATACTTTGTTAAAAATAGATTTGGAAAACCATATTGCTGGTTGCAAAGCATGTGTTCAATAGCGACAGTCAATAATAAGAAGATTTTTAAACACGAATTCAATTTGCATAAGTTGATTCGTAAAGTATTCATTCAAATCTTAAAACGTTGGCGATCTTGGCTGCGATTAACCCAGCAAATTCGAGGCTTGACCTATAAAGATGTCGATATGTCCGCAGCAAAGGAAAATATTTATCCAGCCGGCTTAACGGGTAGTCTTGTCCAGTGGACTGCAATTTCTAGTGAAGAATTCAACATTCAAAATTCAGGATTAATTAACAACTTGTCGCCTTCTAATGGAATCACGTACACCTCCTATAGGGCTGTAATCGTGCGTGGATCTGCCAAAATGGAATGCTTTATTCGAATACCCAGCAACTACCCATTGGATATCCCACTCTGGACATTAAGCGTGCATTGGAATGGTCGGCACACTTCAGTTAACAATGCAGCTATAAAGGTAAGGATATCAATTTGGTCAATATCTTTGAATCTTTCAACACAGAATATAACCTTGCAGATGATGGAATTCTGGACTAACTCGCTGCAGCCCAAGCATTTAGAGAGCGGCAACCGACTGCTCTACTCGCAACTGTTTCGTACCATTTATAGCTTCGACATTTTTCTCGAAACAGAAGGAGCAGTGCAAGCTGTCAGGGAATACAATAAAGAAAAGCCGTATATTAGCGCATACACGAAACGGATTCGTTTGCGCCCGTACAAGTACATTATGAAGGGATCTGTATATACATTTAAACAATAAATAGAGTACATCTTGTAATGCATATGTAACTTTTTTTTAATTTATTTGTGTTGCTATCAGTTAATATAATTTAGAAAATGGATACAATGAATATCTGAACGGATGAAAACTAATTTTTTGTGATGCCGTTGCCGCCACGGACCCTGTTGGCAGCGTTGAACCAGAATTGTTGGTAACTATTTCACGATTCTCATCCGGCATTATTTTGTCAACAACATGCTTGCTGATCAAACCATCATCGCCCAGAAAACAGATGGAATATCCGTCGTACCAAGACTCCTGGTCTTTAAGTACTTCTTGCAGCGCCCACACTTTGTACTTCCAAAATTGGAACATTACTTTCAAGCCCGATATGCCTCTTACTCGCCATCTGATGCGCACTGTGTAATCCTCGGAGTGTTTAGTTATTTTAAGTATTTCAAATTTAACGTATGCGTACTTCAAATGACCAACCGTACGGAGAATCGCTATTTGCTTAACATAGTGGTACAAACCTACCGTGTATTTGCCGGTAATGTTATTTTGAAATATCAGATTTGGGCTATAGATGGAATAGTCCAGGGGTTCGACAAACAATTTTGGCAGTGTACCCTTCAGGACATTGTAGGCACGGTCTAAGTCTTCAGAGCTCTTGTTATGTTTGTTTTCCAAAGCGGGTTTTTTTAATTTATTATCATGTGTATTTTCGGAAGCGGTTTGTGTAATATTGCATTTTTGTATCAGTGGATATGACCCTTTGTGGGATTTCACTTGTGTTACGTATAAACGCTGAAGAATGGAGGCCAATGATCGATCTCTGTGATAACATCTATTTAGACAAGTAATCTTGATTCCACGCAACATTATGATTGAATAGTTTCTATATTTGGTGACCGCAAGGAAAGAATTAGATTCAGTATTAAATTTGGCTGATATTCACAGAATTATATTTTCCTGTTTTATGAATGGTCGATTATAAGAAATTGTAAAGACAACACGCGTGCTTCATATGAATGATATATAACAATAAATATATAATATTGCATATGATTACAAAACTTAATAGTTTAATGAAACAGGCTGAAAATCTGTAATCTATCGATAGTATCGATTCGATAATTATTATTAGTGATTCCTAAAAATTCATCGCTTTCCTTATATAATTCGAGCTGATTCGATATATCGAACCATGTAATATCATCAGATATAATCGATGTTTTCATGCGTTTCATCCAAACCATAATTAATTACTTATTTTATTTGATTGTGCATTGTAGGAAGCAATGCCACAAGTGTCTTATATTTTAAGGGCAACAGTCAAAAAATCCACACTTTCACAATAATTTTTATTTATATACATCTTGCCTAAAATTATTTAATGGTAAATTATGAAAATCCATATTTTAATAATTTGTTAGCTGGTGCGAGTTCCGAAGTTTAATTTATTAAAATCACAAATGAAACAATTTTCTTTCCATTATACAAGTTATTTAGTTGGCTGATTAATATACGGCAATTAATTTATGGCAGCCGGCTTGAATTCGCAACTACCATCTTTACCTTTAATTATTATTAAATATATCTTTAAAATATGCAAATATTTAGCAACATCCATCATGCTTTCAATTAAAGGCAAGTCACCACCGCCTTGATTGATATGCAGCCCTATTCCAGAAACTAAACTATACCGTTGGTATTAAAAACAGCCGAGCTGGTGGGAGAAGTTTATAGATATATATAGATATATATATATATATATATCTATAAACTATATATATATCTATAAACTTCTCCCACCAGCTCGGCTGTTTGAAATAATCGGAGGTCTGTTTAAGAGATTTTAATGATAATGGTACACTACCCCGACCAAATTATAATCATTGAGAAAACGCCAGTGCCCAGTTCAAAAATCCGCTATGTTTTTGGTACATCAGGTGCACGCATCCGGCGAAATTTTGCGATCATGCCCATATCACTGATTGAAATGCTTATGAGGGATAGCGGCAAGTTTGGGTTAAGTGAAGAAGCAAAAGAAGCCGCTGATAAGTTGCGGACGCCAATGACCACAGCATCTTTGCTGGTGCTTAGGGACTTTTCCAAAGCATGCGCTGCGTCCAATTCGCGATGGCAAAGGATGCCGACAACTAATATCGCACTGTGGCTTCATTTTCGGCAAAATCGTTCAATCAAGATTCTAAATCTAATAGAAAGGGATTGCTCGTTTTTATACATATAAATGAGGTATAGCTATGTCTTATATAGGTAAACCTTCTAGTGGACGATATCGAGAACAGGGTTTTTTGATAATTCATAGAAGTAAATAATGTGTAAAGTATTTTCTTAACTTATTTATCATAAAACCCCATCAATTCGCCCCTCATTGTTTTAGACAGTGGAAACATGGCATCAAGGCAGGAACACCGGTATTTGTTGTGGCTGAACCACCCTGTGTCCAGAAACATGATGTTTTTCTACATTATATTATATGTCTGGTGGAAAGGTCTTTATATTTGAAAATGTATAGTTTATTATTATCTACGCGAAGATTAATGCCGCACGTAAGTTTAGTTAATATTGTGATTTATTTAACGTTACGTTAATGTTAAAATTTTTAGAAGGAAATTTTGATTGCCGGCTCTGGCCTAAGGAGGCAGTCAAGAGGAAAAGCCTCAACTCCAATGAACACAATTGTGATGTTTGTGCCGCAACAAGAGGTATATAGATATATATACACGTATATTTATATATACGTATTATTTTTACATTAAATAATCGCATTTTTTCCTATGCCAATCATATTGAATGAAGGCCTGGGTAGTGGAACGAATGGGAAGGTTTCATAGAATTCTGGATCCCGGACTAAATATTTTGGTTCCTGTCGCCGATAAAATCAAATATGTTCAAAGCTTAAAGGAAATAGCGATAGATGTTCCCAAACAAAGTGCCATTACATCCGATAATGTGACTCTAAGCATTGATGGAGTGCTTTACTTACGTATTATTGATCCCTATAGAGGTTTGATTTACATACGAATTACACAATTTGCCAAATAATTACCAAACATTCATTTCAGCTTCTTATGGTGTGGAGGACCCGGAATTTGCAATAACTCAACTCGCACAAACAACAATGAGATCTGAACTAGGAAAAATGTCATTAGACAAAGTGTTCAGGGAAAGGGAATCCTTGAATGTCAGCATTGTTGATTCAATAAATAAAGCCAGTGAAGCTTGGGGTATTGCCTGCTTGCGCTACGAAATACGAGATATTAGGGTAAATATTTAAGATATGTATTTGGCTTTAACATATATATATCTTTTAATCAAAATCAGTTGCCGACCAGAGTCCATGAAGCAATGCAGATGCAAGTTGAAGCGGAAAGAAGAAAAAGAGCAGCCATTCTAGAATCGGAGGGAGTTCGTGAAGCTGAAATTAATATTGCTGAGGGAAAGAGAAAATCACGAATTCTTGCGTCAGGTATTTATATAATTGTGCACAAAAGTTGAAAAACCTTGTGTATAAATTAATTCAGTTCGGTATTCAAATTAAAACTAAAATGAGAAAAACTAAAGCTAAATCTAAGAATTTCGGCAGCAGCGTGGGTGCCGCCTCGTGACGCAATTCTCCGCGGATATTTCGTAATTAGTTGTCGTCGCGCGTGCTGCAGTAGCGGGCAGCTTGTGGTTAACTACTTGCCTCAAAAAGTGCGATCGTCATCCATTGTACCAATTCCTTGATTTGGCAGGTGCCTCGGTTGGAAGCTGGCACTATGTTGTGGCTGCTAATATTCAGCAGCGGGGATTATGTAATCCTAGGGAATCGGCCTTAGAAGTTGTTGTGCAATTCGTCAGGGCCAATACTTGGCTGTCGCATTACGCCACAATGTAGTCTGGGCTTGCCTTCGACGTCGAGTTCAGCGAGTGCCTCGGCGGAGGATTCGCTATATACTTCTTCGGTTTGAATCGGGGTCGGTTTGCAAATCACCACGTTTTTGATAATTTATATTTAATACCATCTTTCGAATTATGTAAGCGTTTCTCGATATTAATGTGACAGTATGTATTCAACCTATATATAAAACTTGTTTATGTATAAGATTTTGTGTAAGTGTGCGAGTATGGTTGTCTCTTATACTCGAGGCATCAGTCAAATTGCATGATTTATAGTTGATTGCATATTTACAGAGGCTGAACGACAAGAACACATCAACAAAGCTAGCGGGGAGGCAGCTGCCATGATCGCAGTTGCCGATGCCAGAGCTCGAAGTCTGCAAGCCTTATCAAAATCTCTGTCTCATACAGTAAGTACAATTCAATAATCATTATTAAACGGTGCTCATTGTCAAATACAGTGTATGCCGCAGGGGTAAAAATACAAGTGTAGACTTTGAATTTGGTAGCTATGTCATCTATTCATTGCCCCTATAATTCTCAAGTGGTTATAACTGCGGACTTGGGACATTGGCTTGCAAAGTCTGATGATCATAGAACAGGGAGGAAGCAAAGTCTGCTGCTGATAGAGCAGCAAAATCTTTTTAACATCAAACTTTTTGCTTTTCTGTTTTTCAAACCGAATGTATAAAAGCCACCCTATTCCGAATGTATACAACGCATTAAGTCTTTGGCTGGCCGAAGTTAACCGATAATTCTTGGATTTTTTGTCATTTAACATTTTTGTTTTTTTATTATAGGAGGGGAGGAACGCTGCATCTTTAACGTTGGCCGAGCAATATATTGAAGCTTTTAAAAAGTTAGCAAAATCAAACAATACAATGATATTGCCATCAAATCCCGGAGATGTAACTGGGCTTGTTGCGCAAGCCTTGGCTGTTTACAATAATGTTTCTAATCAAAGCTTCGAATTGGCACCGCAAGCCAATGAAAACAGCTTAAAGAAGAATGTGGAATATAATTCCTTCAATGAAGAAAAAAATAGTGTTAAAGTTAACATTGAATAAAATAAAATTTAGAAAAATTTAAAATTATTTTGACTGATCTCCGGCAGTTTTCTTCGGGACTTACTTAAAATATTACACGGTATGAACAAATTCAATATATCACTTAGCAAACATTAATATCTATTTATATATATATTTTTTTTTTTCAATGGAAATTTTTATGCGGGCGGGCAGACTGACGGACATGGCTATGATGCTGATCAAGAATATATATACTTTATGGGGTGCCACTGTTCGGTCTCGCCTACCAACGATTAACAAAACTATTCCTACCCTAACCTTATTCTTATTCCCTCTGTTCGCACGTCCGATACTTACGCTCATCGTTTCCAAAGTGAAGTGCTGTTCAGCTTACTTTCTCCTGTGCTCCTCCTGTTAACATTTTAGGAATCGGAGTTGCCTTTTATTAAGCTAAAGCTTTTTTTTCTTCATGTTCACATTTGTATTCATATTCATATTCATTTTAAGATACAAATGGATATTATAAAAAAAACATGATTTTCTCAGTGTTAATCATAAATCAGTTCGTAGGTATCTGAGTTTTTTGCCAGATTTTGTCGCGTCCGACAAGCAACACTTATCAGATCGATCCATTTCAATTGTATTTATCCTAATGTCAACTTTTTTGAGGGTTTTCTCATCTATATATTCCAAATCGGTTTGAGAAAGTACATTTTTAGAAACCGCCATTCGCCGGAAAAAAAATAGATCTATGGCAAAAAGAATCGCACATATAAACGACACAGCTCCGAGGGAATAACCATAAGATAATATATCATCCGGCAACTGTTCCAGAACACCAAATATTAATAGCCCTGAAACAAGCACAAAGAAAATATTATAAGATTAAATACCCCAGAATATGTATCAAACTAATCGACGTGTTTCATCAAGCGATGGACCAGAGTTTAGACCCAGTAGCAAATTTAAATCTACCCGTTTTATATTATGCTCTACGTCTCATTTACTTGCATATTACAATTTTATGATTGCGCAAAAATCAAAAGCTATAATACATATGTTCTCTCATTTTAGGTTCCATGTTTAAATTGATATTGAAAAATAAATTCTTCAAGATATTTGAAGCAGAGTTAAAAGCCGATCGTAAAAATATTCATGCAATCGATTTCAGCGATTGTGCAGACTCGCGATTGGTATTTTCACAATTCGATTCTACATTCCCTTCATCACAGAAGGTAATAAGTTCCGCTTCCTACCTCTTATGATTTAAAGCTGTGCGATGATCACTAGTCAGCCAATTAGGATAAACCTTTTTTAAATTAATTTATATACTAGTCTATCTCTATATATAAAACTTTTTATTCTGACTAAAATTTAAGATTTACGATAATGTAGTTTGATCAGGACATATGTAGTACCTGCAGCAGAACAATGGACGTATCAGGACGATAGATTTAAAACTAAGGGATAAGTTTGCGTAAAAGCAAACAGGCTGATAGACAGACAGTTATGGCATATGGCTATAACGGCTGGGTTGTTTTGGCTGAACAAGAATTAATATACCCTTTGGGGTCGGAAAATGATTATACCTTCAGTGCAATGTGAAATGTACTAATGCTAGTTAATGAATATATTCAAATACCCTGTATGGTGAAGAACAATATTCCAAAGCTCAATAAAATAATCTCAGTTATGTGATAATTGGAATCCTTTTCTTTGATCCTGAAATTAAATTGCAATACACAAAGGTTTTATTTATTTTGACCATCTGACCCAAATTGCCAAAAGAATGCTTACCTCGATAGCAATAAAATAGTTGATATAAATGTATACCCCATAAAAGTGAGGATACTTAATTCATCGGTTTCCTTCGTCAATGAAATTGTATTCAAAAGCATCCATTCCGTTAATCTTTTGTTGTTGATTGTTAACAGCCGCTCAGAGTATTTATCAGATAACTTTTTTAAACAGGTTGCTGCCACAGTTGCAATCTGTGAATAATTAAACAAAATCGATTATTTACAGACATGCACGAAGGATGTGGCTAGATTGATCGATTCGGAATCGTAACTGATTCTTGTTTTCTTTTTGATGATACCCTGTAGTAATTTCTATTCCGAAAGAATTCCAAGGATATAACCCCTGTGGTCGAGTTGTGTCTTTTCTGCCATTTTAGAAGGAAGTTCCCAAGCAATTGCATGAGCTGAGCACGCTGGTAGTAGGGTTTGGCTTGGACATATTTTGACAGTGGGACGTTGACTATTACTTCCTGTAGATTGAGCGCATTGGTGAGTCTGCATGTAGTCGTCGCATTTCCAAAATGCGATTCTAGATTGTAGGGTCAGTCTAGCTACGTAGGGTACGAACTGAGTAGACGCTACTAATAGATGAGAGAGTATCGTTTTAAAAGTTGTTTTGATTATTTGTTGTGACCCAAAAACTGTAAACCATAAGCACAATAAACGGTGTAATTGTTTAAACAAAGTAATAACAAAGAGAATTATTAGTTTAAATCTGATCAGACAAATAATTAAAAAAAAAAAGAAGCAGATAGTAGTCGGTAACATAATGTATATAAATACTTGGCCATATGCGTCTGTCCATCTGTATGTCCCTGCAACTTGCCCTGAATTTAAAAAAAAGCCCAGCTTGCAAAGAATACTTATTGACTTTGGTGTTCACACTTATTCGCAATATTTTTGCACTTAGCATTTTATAAAGATCTGACAATTAGCGTCAAAGCTAAGCTAATCATGAAAAAATTTCCCATAAAGTGAGGCCAAGGTTAGAAGCAGCGCTTTTTGTGTAGAAATAAGTTATGATGTTTGTGACGGCAGCTCGGCGTGGTGTACAGGGAATCTCCTAGTCGGGCATTCCCGACCATATAACTATTACTTGCTAAGAAAATAATATGTATTTTTCTCAATTGACTAGCCAATGAAAATGGCTTACATTAATTACACTTGAATAAATTTCTCATATAAAATACTGTTTGAAAAGAGTTGTTTAATAACTTGAAGCTTTTCGGTCATTGTGGAGCTTTTTGTGGAAATTCTCTCAAAATAAATAAATTTGGTTAACAACTCTTACTATATTTCCAAATAATTAAAATGTACCACTTACAATTTGACAAACTTTAACAAATATACAAGCAGCGAATTTCATTTTGGCATTAAGCTTGCTCAACACATAACAATACAGTAGAAAATGATATTGTACATTATTTGGTGAGACAAACATGTAATAGTATGCTTTATAATGAAGACTTTACACCAAACAAATATGAATGTTTGTGAGAAATCCTCTATTTGAATTTAAATCTTTTTATCACCTTACGATGTTGCAGCCCAAAACGACCCCAATTTTTTTTTAGAGTATGCGTTATATTTGATTAATATTTATTTTAAGTTATCAGATTAATGTATGTACAGTTTAATATTTATTAATTTAATTCAAAGCGTTGATATATGGATATGTTTATCATTTAAAAATTTCGTGGCGTGGGACTAAGATCTTTACTTTAGGTTCAGAAATGTCTCATTCTGCAACTAATATTATATGTGCATTAGAATACACTTATGTTTTGAGAACAGAGTACATTAACTCATTTTGAGAGCAGGGCATTTTATAGTCGACCATTGTCGATTGTCAAAGAAATCATTTGCCTGATATAGCAATGAGGTTCATTAAAAATATAAGTAAGACCAACCATCTGCTGTTCTCACTTTCTTGCATATTGAATAAAATCTAGAATCAAAAATGTAAAGCTTAAATTATATTATTGCTATAATTCCATAATTACTATTTTTTTTGTATTATTTATTATTTTATAGCCTTAAACTTCTGTAGATTCCAGCATTAAGGGGGAAATGCATTTATTTTAAAGAAGTTTCGGAATATCTGATTAATTCTAACTGATTTATTCATTTCTTAGTTTGAAACACATATAAGTAAGTTAGGTATGAGTAAGAGTAAATATGTACGAATGGAATAGACAGGAAATATCGCTGCTGATACAGAGGAAAAGAAAAAAAAAGATATATATATATCAAAATCGATAAAAAATTATTATTATTTTCTTAAAACAAGCGAATTCGCTCTTAATTAAGTTTGATTAATGCCAGCAAATGAAAAAGTGACGTTTTAGTATTGAAAGTGAAAATGGGAACATGTCGCATAATATTCAATGGCAGATTAAACATCAGTTGTATATAAGCTGATTAAAATAAACATAGTACTCAATTACATTTGCTCTATTGGAATACATCAATTGTTACTTTAAAACAATGAGCTTGTGTATAATTGGTGCCGGCACTGCAGGACTTTGTTGTGCTCGACGTGCAGTTGAGCTCCATCAAACTCCTACAATATTTGAACTTTCGAATCAAGTTGGAGGAACATGGGTTTATGACAAAAATACTGGAACAGTTGACGGCATCGATGTGCACAGCAGTATGTATACAAATTTGCGGTAAGTTATTTAGGAGCTGAAGAAATAAATATGCTTAAAACTATAATTATGAATTGACTATCTAACTTTACAAAATAAGCACTCTCCATATATTAATTGTTTTATTGATTATTTGTTGCCAATACAATTTATATGTTCATAAAGACTAAGAAATTGCAAATTGACCTCCTCCTCTGGTCGGAAATGCCGACTTAGCGATCCAAGAGCTTTAAGGCTTTAAGATTTAAGTCAAACCCTAGGAAGACCTACGACATAGTCCATTTCATGACCAGTTTTCGCCATTTTTAGACAAACCCTGATTTATCCCGTGTTGCTGTCTCTTAGTACAAAGAGAGTTTAATGACAAAATGAGAAATGAGAAACAGAGATTGATACTGCATTTCGCGACAAAATTACAAAAGCCAGCATTAAAAATAATATATTTGCAATTATATTTCTCTATATACTTAGCACAAATTTACCCAAGGAGATAATGGGATATCCAGACTTTGAAATCGGTGCCAAGAAAGATTCCTATATCTCGTCTGAAGACATTTGTGCCTTTCTAAATCTGTACGCTGATCATTTCCAATTGAGAAAACACATAAAATTTAATTCATACGTGATACGGGTTTTAAAAAAAAGAGAGAAGTGGCAAGTAAGTAAAATAAAATAATTTGAATCTTAATTTAATGTAAAGCCATTTATTTCTTATAGGTACTTGTGAAGAATTTATTAACAAATAATGTGGAATTTTATTACTTTGACAAAATACTCATTGCAAACGGACACTATCATACACCGAATTATATTCAAATTACGAATGCAAATCTATTTAGAGGTCAATATTTGCACAGCCATGATTACAGAAACAACGATCTATTCTATGGTAAATAATATAGCTCACGTATTATTCATACATATATTAAATGTTTATTATTCGAACATGTTTAGGAAAGTCTGTGTTGGTAATTGGAGGAGGACCAAGTGCCTTGGACTTATCAAATATAATATCAAAGGCAGCAAAACAAGTCGTACTAAGCCATCATTTGAATGGTATTTCGAATTCAATTTTCTTTAAAAATGTTGCCACCAAACCAGATGTCAAGGAGTTTACTGAAAGCGGAGCATATTTTATGGATGGATCTTATAAAGAATTTGATATAGTATTTTTCTGTACTGGATATAAGTATTCCTTCCCTTTTCTCAGCGTTACTTCTGGTATATACGTCGAAGACAACTGTGTTCAAATGCTTTACAAACAATGCATCAATATACGAAATCCAACAATGGCATTTATTGGGCTACCGTTTTACGTATGCGCCGCTCAAATGATGGATATACAAGCACGTTTTGTTTTAAGTTACTTTTTTGGAACTAACAAATTGTTATCAAGCACAGAAATGACAGCAGATACACTACAATACTTGCAAAAACTCTGGGAAAGGGGTTACAAAAAGCGACAAGCTCATATGCTGGGGATCGATCAGGTAATGCTCAATAGATCTGCTTAATACATTGAATTTTATTTTTGAAATTTTGAACTACGTTTCGCGAATCAATTTTATTGTCGGTTCATTGGTTCATTCTTTCAAATTTCCGCTTAAATGTCCGGGGATCAGATATCAGATCCTTGAAGAAAGTATTAGGGCAAGTTTTCATTACAAGTTTGCTGATTTTAACAAAGAGATTTAAGAAAGAATTGTGCTTTGGTTATGCCTGGTCCCAAAAGTCCTAACGGATCACATAAACAATACACAGAACTATACGATTTACCCAATTTGCCTGATAAGCCTGGCAAAGTGTTGCTCACATTTCAACTCTTCTTTGAAATCGACGCAATTAACGCGCCAAGATCACAGCCACTCGAAACGAAATCTGCCGGGTTTACAGCTTTATCTGTCTACTCTTGGATTTCACCAACTCGTTTCGATACAAATGTTGCCAAATACGAAGGATGTCACAAAATCCTATCAGAATCTGGCTAAATAAATATTTATTGTGTAAATTTGCATTTTTAAAATGAAGTTAGATGCGTACAAAGTATTTTCCTGTCGGACTCTCCCGACTAGATCACTGTAATAGTAATGCATTCCTTTAATTTGAATAAATAACTTTTTCAGATGCAGTATTTCAATGAATTAGCCGAGACGGCGAAGATTGGAAACATCAAACCTGTTATGGCAAAACTACATTGTGAAAGCAGTAACTGTTTTAATGAAAACTTGATTTACTTTCGTGATGACATTTTTAAGATTATTGACACTGAAACATTTATAAAATTTAATTGAATGATTAATATGTTTATACCCAGAGCCCATTGAACATGGGTATAAAGTCTAATGTTGTGTCCGTCCGTATGTATAATCGCGAACATTTCAGACGCTACACTTCTTGGTGCCGCGCATTTCGCCTTTTTTCCGATTGTCGATAACCTACCCCGATTCCAAGCATTCCATAAAAATCGATATCGAAATTCTATTTTTTTTTCTATTTTAACAAATCTTCTAAGTTTTAAGAGTTGGAGTCATCATCTTTCATTTCTGGCTACCATCCCCACACTCCGCCCCACATTCAGCTTAATCGTATAAATAAATCACTTGGAATTTAAACTACGAAGAATTTTTGTTATATGTTTCAAGACACATTCAAGCAACAGATGCAAACTATAAGAAATTTCAGGTAAAGTATTCACAGCTCCAGAAACTCATTTTGGGATATCTTAACTTCTCTCCAAACACAGCTGAAAACAATTTTTGCAAGGAACACACATTACAAACTTATTCACAATTTAAAATGTCATATTTGAACCTAGAGCATTTTATAACGATCGTACTATAAGTGTGAGACCTACAACAGAAATCACAGTATGTTCATAAACGAGAAAGAAGGGCGATCTTCGGCACGTCGAAGATCTGATACCCTTACAGGCCAAACCTTTTTATAATGCGC